GATTTTTGTTCTATACTACTTTTTATGCAAGGGTTCATACCTACTTTTTGATGCTGCAGGTATCTATTTTGTTGCTCTTATTCACACAATGTTGCTCCAAAAGGGAAATTCATTGCATTTGTCTCCACAGAGGCAGAAACTGACCAGCCAGAGATTGAACTGAAACCAGGGGTTGATCTTCTTGGACCTGTGGATGAAATTTTCTTCGAGACTTATGACAGATATGAACCAGCCAATGAGCCCGCTCAAGACAATTGCTTTATATCAACTGTGAGTTTCTATAGAATTTCATTTTGGAACAACTGCTTGATCATGAAATTTCCCTAGCATGGACAAACTTATTTCTCTATATGTCAGAGCTATGATTCTACAACTCACTTTGAGTCGACTGTTGATGACGTGCTGAATATGTATACCAAGATTACTGGAAAGGTAAGAATTATAATTCGTAAATTTAGCAATCATCGACACACTTTATGATTGCTCTGTTAACGCATTTTGGTGGTTAATGGTTCTATGCCAAAGCACTGAGGGATGAATGCCTGATGCTAATTTTCTTTTTAGGTATTAATGATACCTTTTGCAGCTTGTCTAAGAATAGAACACCTACTATGTAAGATGATTAGGGCAATTAAGACCATATGTCAATTTAATTGGCTTCGTTTTTTCTTATGTTTTGTTCAATTATTTGTTCCAGAATTATCGTTACAGTTCCAGAACAGTTATCTATTGCTTGTTGATCATAAAAGTTTTGTCCTATTGAATAATTATGCTTTAAAATAGTCCACAAGTTGAAGAATCTAATTGGCTCTTTGTTTTGTTCTTTCATTTGTTCAATTATTTCAGAAGTTATCTGTACTGGAAAGACCTTTCTTGATGTTGCTGACTAGTGAAAATTTTCATAAATAAATAAAAGGCTGGTGAAATGCGTGTTAGATTTTTGGGCAGGCATTAAATACTTCCATGCTCACATAAAATTACTTTATTACTTTGGCATAACTTAATTATAATTTAAACGGGTCAAAGATACTTCTATATCCACATATTTAGAAGGATCCACAATTACTATCAACGTATTATCACACATTCCATAATACCCATAACTTATAATCACTTAAATTTTAGTTTAAGCACTCTCAAGCATGAATTTTGTCACGGATAATTCAGTAAAGAGGATATTATTACCCTTTGCTTTCAAGACCACCCTCTACGAGCGTCATAAGCATTTTGGTTACTTCCAAATGAAGTTTTATCGTATGAATATGAATTGTTTATTTTTTTTTCTTTTGGTGAAGGTTCTGGATCTTAATGTGGATCTAAGTGCCGCCAGTGATGCTGAAGAATGAAAGAAGCTTCTTTCTTGTTATTGCACTTAAGTGAGCTTTATCTTACCAATTTCGTTAGGATATGGAAAGACTTCCTCTTGGTTCTTTGTTTTCTTTATTGATAAGAATCCCGAGTTTCATAACTGTGGCTAGGATGTTTACGAAGCACAAAACTGAGTTGTGAATTGCACATTTTGAAGGGTGGTTAGAAGAAATAAAGATGCTGTATGTGCAGCAGAACAATAAACAAGTTGAACATTGATTTCAATAAGTAACTGTCAGTCGAATGAATTCTTAAATTTTTCGGTACTATAACAGCTCATGTTTTTTTCCTACTCGTCCCTCTTCTGTGTTATTTATGGTACTCAAAACAAGGTTTGTTGCCACATGAAGTGGAAATGAGTACTTAATACTAGTGTAATTCTACCTGCAATTTTAACTGTAATAGTTGATTCTTCAGGACTAATGTACTTGATATTTTGTAATACATTGTCGAGTAAGGGAAGTAATATTTTTTACAACAATTATAAATCAAGGGTTATAAACTTTGTTGGTCATCAAACTTTAAAAATGTGTTGCTTTAGTCAACAAACCATATTTTTGCATAGATGGTCTATGAAATTACAAAGTTGTTTCAATTAAGTTATTGATTACATACTTTTTAGTCGATTTAACTTTTAGTTGATTTTTCCAACAACGAGACTTATGTAAAAAAAAAAATTTTAGTAGGTAAAATATTAATCAAATTAAGCTCCTATTTGACAATCATTATTTGGGAAAACAAAGTTTTGAATAGTGTTTTATAGAAAAATGTGCTGTTAAAAAGTAGAAAAACTTTGGATTTAAGTATTGCGTGAATATGTAATTGAAAATAAGTATATAGAAAAGAATTTTCAAATAATGATTGTCAAACAAGGACTAATATTCAAAATAGAACTGATAGTTAAAAATGAAATAGTTTAAATTGTTCAGATGTGTAATGTGAATACAGATTAGCACGCAAAAGGTCTTTTAGCTTATTTATGCAAATTCATGAAGAACATAAGCAATGAAACACCTCAACAAAATTGTTAAATTTACTAATTAAAGTTTGATGACTAAAGTGATACAATTTGAAAGTTTGGGGACCAAGAGAGCTTTTAAGTTTAACCTTTTAAATCAATGGCCTTGTATGGGAGAGATTAAAATCGGATTAAAATTGAAAATATAGCCGTTATTGTTGACTTTTATTAGACGAGTGGGACCCAATAACGGCCATATTTTCAATTTTAATTGGCTTTTAATCCCTCCCGAACGGGGCCTAAATAGAGTNTTTTCTTTCAGTAACACCATTTTGTTATAGTGGATAAGGTGCGGTGGTTTCATGTATGATTCCGTGTTGTACACATAATTCAGTAAATGGTGTTTCATACTCACCACCTCGATCACTTCTCAGTACTTTAATTTTCTTATTGAGTTGATTTTCAACTTCATTCTTATAGAAAATAAATTTCTCTATAACTTCTTCCTTACTTTTAAGTAGATACACATAACAGTATTTTGTACTATAATCGGAAAAAGTAATGAAATACTTGTTGCCACCTTTTTTTTGAATAAGTTTCAAGTAACATACATCACTGTGAATTAAATCAAGTGGTCCTGTATTTTGTTCAGTTGATTTAAATGATGAACTTGTCAATTTTGTCTCAACATAAGTTTCGCACTTGTGGTTGGAATCGATGTAGAACTTGAGTATGCATTTAAAGTTAACTAGTCTACGTATAGTATCATAGTTAATATGTCCTAGTCAACCATGCCACAAGTTGAAAGATTCAAGCAAGTAAGTAGAAGAGTTAACTTTATTCATTTTTTGCTTAACAAGCATTAGATTTAGTTTAAACATACAATTCCGACAAACATTCCACTTTTTGACAAAATAATTTTGTCTGACTCAAATACAATACGGAAATCATGCTTATTCAAAAGTGATCCGGACACTAGGTTCTTGCGGATTTCTGGCATATAGAGCACATTGTTAAGAGTCAGCTCTTTTCCCGAAGTCATTTTTAGAACCACTTTTTCTTGACCCTTGATTTCAGAAGTTGCTGAATTTCCTATGAACAATTTCTCTCCATTCTCAATTGCATCGAAAGTTACAAACAACTTTTTATTAGAGCACACATCCCTTGTAGCACAGGTGTCAATCCACCACTCTTTTGGGTTAGAACTCACCATGTTCATTTCAGACAATTTCGTGTGTTTTGGAACTATAAGACAGACTCTTTCTTCATTTCTGGAATACTAAAAAACTGAGGCTTTACATAGACTTAACCCAAATAACAATAACCATTAGAGTTTCAACAATTTCAAACTTAATGATAATAATCATTGGAGTTTTATAAACCAATAGTCAGTTGTTGAAAGAAAAAAAATAAAATTGACAAAACGTAGGCTATCCTAAGGAGCCAATTTTTGTCAATTCGATTCGACATCGTGTATGCAGGTTGCGCTCGCATACAAGTTCAAGGTCTGAAACTTATTTTGGTTTGTGATTTGCACCTCCATGCGCGCGCACATGGAGAAAGTCTCTATACTACACATGATTACACACTTCTAAAGTGTAGCCATATATAAAGTGCTTCTTGCTTTCATCAACTTCCTATGTAGGATGAACTCAAATTTAGTTTTCCCTTCAACATAAACCATATTCCAATAGTCTACTTTGAACTTCAATTTCTCATTCACCCAAACTTCATTTTTGGCAAGTAAATACGTGATTTTGATGTTCTCACGGAGGAAAATACAAATCAATGCTGATCTTCCAAATTAAGCAAATGAGTTCTGCTCAAAATTTATGCCAAAATCAGCCATCACCTCATTTTTTCCAACACAGTCTCTATATGGGATCTAGCATATTGAGAAACTGCATTTTTCTTCCACTGTTTTGTGTTTCGTGGGAGTTTTTGAAAATGGGAATTAATTGATGTTTGAACATTAGATTGAGGTTGATTAAAAGATTGAGTATGTTAATTGGTGGCAATGCCAACGGCTTGGTGGTGGTGTAGATCTGAAGGTGGGTTGCATAGGTGGTGGCAGGCGCGGAGTGGGGTGGGGTTGTTTTCTTTTAATTATTTTATGTGAAAATTATGAATTTATAATTTTGTCCTTTTAAAATTAGCCAAAACTGATCAAACGAGGTCAATTTTTTTGAGGTCAATCAATGGAGAAATAGTGGAATCTATCCATTTGTCCTTGTGATGCAACGAAACGAAATGTTTGGGATTGTGATTGGTACAAATGAAAGGTTAAAAAAAAAAAAAAGATTTGGAATTGCAACTGTAATTATCCCCATAAATAGAAAAAATTGTAATAGAGGTTTCAAACCTTTGAAAATGTTCACGAGACTTTTATCTTTATTCTTTCGATATTGATATGACTAATTTTTTCAACGAGCTTTCTCTAAATATTGATAAAATCCCTATCAGTAATATACCAGAATTGCGGGCTGCTATATCCCAATTTTTTTGATCTTAGTACTTAAATTCCAAACATTTTTAATTAATGTGCACAATAAGGACATTTGAATGATTTTCGCCAAATATTTATCAGTTGACCAAAAGTCAAATATTTGGCAAGGTGATGGTGTGGAGACGAGTGGACAGGTCAAGGAATTGTTGTTAGTGGCGATTATGATGGAATATTTGTGATGTAACAATCCATTATCTCTTACATTATTTAACTCTCCTCCCCCTCTGTCTTATAAAAATTAAATGAGTTGTGCTGCTGTGCCAGATCTGTAAAAGATCTGGCACAGCCATGTGAGATAGGGTGGGTGGGTGTTTTAACATTTTTGGGGGGTTTTTTTAATGAGTTAGGTCCTCGGGACCCACCTCATGTGAGATAGTCTGTACAAAATCTGTGAACCAAAATCTGGTAGAGTAGAATAATTCAAATTAAATCACACAATCTCATTATTTTACATAAACTGCCACATCATCAATATTTCATCATCATAACGATAGATTCTTAATTGAAAGGTTAAGATGTAGTTATTAAGATTAAAATGTTTTTAGACTTGTCAACACATTTTTGGAAGATTTGAGATTTCAACCTTTAATTTCCTATAAAATATTTCACAAATCCATCAACATATGTAAGACAATAATAATGTCGACTGCCTCCTCTTCTTCTTCTCTATTAACTTTTTAATTCTCCAATACTTCATTCAATTTAGTGCTATGTCTATCAAAAAATAAAAATAATTATATCAATAAAAACTATGCCACATAGTATGATCTGCATCTAACTTGTTCTACATGTTGTACATTAACACAAGTATCATAGTACTCGTAGTATGAGTGTACTTAACAACATTGATTCTAGCTAGCTCAATCTCTTCAATTTTGACCATACAACCCAATGGATAATCAATTAATCATAACGTTATATGAATTTGTAATAGAGGTGTATGGAAATGTTTTGCTGCGACAACTCTAAAAGTGGAATGAATTTTGTTGGTATCCGATCTCATAACCCTTCTCAATCAGAGGCTTAATTATGAATATTCCATTTAAATATGGTTAAAGAAGCTTAATTATCAAGAATCCTAAATTATGAAGCCAGGTTCGAAAAGAGAAACACGTTGAAATTAAATTGTTCGAAGGTGATCATTGAACAAGTGCATCGAGATACTTGTTGACATTTTCTGGATTGGAATTTACATTTTTTTGAAAAGAAGGATTTCACGTTTTTACATTTTATATTGTAATATTTCAATAAAGTTGTCACTGAAGTCGTTGTAGTATAGTGGTGAGTATTCCCGCCTGTCACGCGGGTGACCCGGGTTCGATCCCCGGCAACGGCGCTTTTTGACAAATCCTTTTTTTTTTTCCATCTCTCAAATTAATCGCCATTTAACCAAACGCGATTTCAGTTCAAGAATGACAGATTGATTCGTGTATGTTTGAGGGACCGCCGCCAGATAAATTCCCCTATAAAATCTCACTTTTTAATTCCCGCCATTTCTTCCCCCTCTCTCTCCTCACTCACACCAGAGAAAATCTGAAGCAAAATCGATGACGAAAAGAAAGGAAGAGAAATCAGAAGGTCTAGAAATCGTATCAATCGGAAAAATCTATTCTGGTCCGTGGGATAAGAAGTATTGGAGCTCATCTCGGGTCCGATTTTTCTCTCTTTCCATCTTCTTTATCTATATACTAAATAATTTTGATCATGGAGCCAATTTCTTTTGTGCCTTTTGGATTATTTAATAATGCGGCGCAATTTCGTTTTTATTTTATGTACTCAGGTTATAAATCTGAAAATAAGATGTTATGTTATCATTTTAGCTCGTAATTTCAGTTGTTGTAAAACCTATTATTTTAATTGAAGACTGGCCAAATGTTTGGATCTACCAACAACTGGCTATTGAAAATCTAGAGAATAAAGTGGAATTGTAAGCATGGATAGGTCAATTAAGTGATGTGCTAATGAAACATTAGTATACCATAGAGCAAGTTGCTGGTGAGGTAATGTCTTATTTTTTTCAATTATACATCATTTGGTGGACTAATTTTTCTTGAAAAAGGAAAAGCTCGAATGCTAATGGATAAGCAGTAGAGAAGATATCTATCCCCGACAAAAGAAAAATGAACTGGCAGATATGAAAAATAATCCCTTTTCATTTGGAATAAATAATTCCATTAGTAGAGGCATGAGGATGTAACATAAGGATGATAATCGATATGTAAATGGCTAAATAATTCTGTTCTGATAACCAGAAGAACTCATAGCATTGGCCAGCGTCAAGGAATGCTTTAAATTTTGATTTCTGTATTCTCGCTGGAAGAGAAACTGAATGTTTTTGATGGGTTAGAAGTCAGAACTAGATTTAGAACTCAACGTGATAATTTCTTCTACTTATGATTTAGTTTTTTCAGCATAATTGCCTAACTTGAATGGATAACGTTCCCCACCCAAAAAAGGAGAAACAACAACTAGAATAAGGAGTATTGAAGTAGGAAAGAACATGCTTACTGTATTGAAGGATAAAATAAATACTCTTGAAATTTCCTTCAAACAGAAGGAAAAGTTTTACCAAGAATGAAGTTTAATGAATCATGCTACATGTACATCTTCGTTGACATTAAATTTGACATCCTTATCAGGTGGCAGCTTTTCAAACATTGATTTAAACAACACTTCAAACAATCAAGGACACAGATTTTGACTACACGTGGAGTGTCAACAAAAATGTACACCAAGTGTGTACAACTAGTTTAATGCAATTAAAATAATCCAAGAAGGAAATTATGATGATATAATCCAAAGGGGCCTATACCCACTGCTGAGGATCTTCCTTTTAGATTTAAAAACAGCAAGAATCAATCAAGAACCCCTTTAGTTCTAGTTGACATGGGAAACTAAAGTCATAGAAGCAACAGCTAAATACATCAGAGAATAAAAACGAAACTGTTATATTTTATAGAGACATAGCTTTATAAATTACCTGCGTAAATTTAATTTCTGTCAGACTTCACCACACTACCAACCTCTAGGATAGACAGATGCCACAATGAAATGAATGAATTTCAATCTAAAGAATTATACTTAATACAGATGATTTAAAAATGGGGCCAGAAAGTTAATGTACAAAAAATATTCTCAGAATTCTAAAGTATCAAAAGTAGAATGCTGTTTTTTTTGGGTCTCAGAAACTCATATTATACTGAATTTCAGAATATAACCTTTAGAATTGAACGTATCAGCACCAATAATTATAAGAAAAGATGCTTAAAAAATATTACTGGCTGAATTTTTTTGTTCAATCATATTCTAAAGACAAATATAAATAGCTTCAATTTGAAATCTGAAATTGGTTTACAACCAATAATAAATTAAAATAAAAATTGGTGTAAGCTGGTAGCCTGGACTCTGGTATAGACATTGACAAATTTTTGAAAAAGCTATCTGTAGAATGCTCGAAAGCTAGAACTTCATTTTAACTTCGGTCCAGACAATTTCACAAGTTTGAAAGTGTTTAACATTCAAAACTTGCACAAATATGTCTGAAACTTAGTTTTAAACTTTTGGGACTACTTTTAGATTTATAAATGAAATTTCTTTCTTAAATAGAATTAGGCCTTATCTGCTGATCCATTTACTTGTGAGGTTTCCTATCTAATAAAATTGACTGAAGAATACCATCTGGTTCCTTATAAGAATAGATCCACAAGTCTGAAAGCCATAAGTGGATTTCTGATATCCTATTGTAGATGTTCTGAAATGGTTCTGAACTGGATCAAATTATAGATTTCTGGAATCAGTTTGTAGAAAATTTTGCTGTATTTAAAGCTGAAACTATTCATTTTGGAAACCTATCAAGTACTAGACACTTAGGCCCTGTTTGAGAGGGATTTAGATTTTTCTACAGTAAATCAATTCTCATTTTTTTTTTTTATAACCGTGGATGTCCGGACCAGCTTGCGCGCACCTTGACTAATTCCACGGGGCCCTGAAGTTTACGGCCGGGTACTCACCTCAGTGGCCTCAAGAAAATCAATTCTCATTTTTAACCACACATTTTTCAATAAAATAATATTTTCCATCACATCAATAATTTTTTCTTCTTTTTCAACCCCACATTTCCCATCATATCACTATTCAAAATCAATTCTTCCCCCAAAAAATCTCTACCAAACAAGCTCATAGGTTATTGCAAAACAATTACCAACATTATTCAATATCCTAATGGTGTGTGGTGCATGTTATTTTTATAGAGGTTGAGGGTACAAATCCTTGAACCTTCAAAATTTCTTTTTCCTCATTTATTTGATTATATGAGAAAGGGTAGAGTAGACATTTGAGATTTCTAAATAATTAATTCTTTATATATGGGTGATGCTACATGTACCCACAAATTTTCACACAATCTTTTACATCCCCTCACATGAAGGGGGGCCCACGATTATTTTATTATGTGTGGACCCCCCTCCATGTGAGGGGGGTGTAAAAGATTGTGTGAAAATTTGTGTACACATAGCATTATTCATATAAAAAAGGGTAGAGTAGACTTTCTAAATAATTAATTCTTTTTTCTTTTTAAAGAATTTGGTCAAAGGGCATTGAGACAAAACCTTGTTGAGGGTTGGTCCAACTCATTCCCGATTTTGAAACTACACAATTTGCAGATCAGCTGCGAGAATGTCCGCGACGCAGGAGAGCATCATCCGCACCTTCCATCAAACCCTAGCCTCTTGCTCAAGTGTAAACTTCACACACATAGATGTATTTATATATGAATTGATCTAATTTATTAATGCAGTATATTTATTAATATGTGCAAGCATGCAGTTGATTGAAGCAGGTGATTACAGTAAGTCGCAGCATTCAATCTCCGAACACGTAGATTTCCTCAACTCAATCTCCAGTTCCGTTTTATCGGAATCCGAAAATGAAGACTCGGGAAAAACAGCGCTCGAAATTCTCGCCCAAATTCATCAATATATATGCTTACCTTCACTTAATCAGGTCTAGTGAAGTTTCCATTTTCTTTTTATTTTATTTCTATAGTTAAAATTGTTGACTTATTGGACCGCTTTTATTTTGTTTATGAATTATAGTAGTTAATCTTTGCAGGAAGTTATTGATGCGTTAGCGTTTGAGTGGCCCAAGGCAGTTGCCAGGTTCGCTTGTGTGTCTAAGAGGAGTTTGGAGGTGGCTGGGAGCATCATTGATCGGTTGGTTGAGACTTGTAGTCCCCGCGATATGCTTTCAATTCTCTGTGAGGTATATATCTGATCGGTTTATTTGTTCTTTTGGTGTATTATGTCCTCTTTTGGAAAAATTGCGACTAGTGGACTACTATATGTTTGTCTAGTTGAAATATGAGTTTGATGGAAAATGTGAAAACTTTGGGTACTACTAACTGTGAATATCTTTGTGTTATCAAAATGTCCAATTATTTGTTATTTTTTTCTGCCAATATCTGTAGTTTATATAGTTTCATCACTAGTTACTTACCGTTTCCCAAACATTGAGATTTTTCTGATGAAATTGTTTTAGCTTTAGAGAAAATAAAGATTTGCATGAATTTGAGTAATTGCTGTTAATTGCTCAATAGATGGAAATGTCAATCAAATGAGACATAATTTGATTATATTCAGTGAAGTCCTTTCATTGCTTTCCTCTTAATAAAGAGGTAACACAATATCTATAACCTATATTTTTGGATAAAGAAGCTGTAACGACCCGACCTCGCACCAGAACTGTTATCATATCTTACGTACTGTCCACTTTGGGAGGGCCTAGGCCCATCTTACCCCTCACGACTTTCTAACGCGTCCCCTAGGATTCGAACTCAAAACCTCCATCATATGAGAGTTTTTTTGTAACGACCCGACCTTGCGCCTCAGCCGTTATCATATCGTGCGTATTGTCCTCTTTGGGAGGGTCTAGGCCCATTTTACTCCTAACGGATTTCTAACGCGTCCCCTAGGATTCGAATCCAAGAGTTGCCCAATTGGTACTAGGATTCAACTTAAGTCTCCCATATGACGGAGGTCTTGGGTTCGAATCCTGGGGGACGAGTCAGAAATCCGTGAGGGGTAAGATGAGTCTAGGTCCTCACAAAGCGGACAGTACGCACGATATGATAACGGCTGCGGCGCAAGGTTGGGTCGTTACAGTAACAGATCTTAATCAACCATTGGATAAGCTAATGAAGTAGGATGTAGATTAAAATTGAACAGGGTTTGTAACCTGAGTCGGTGGTTGCTGTCATGAGAAAATTCGTGCATCTAATCCACATTAGGGACAAGGCTTGACTGGAGTCTTGAGATGATGGCATAAGTTCTAAATTAGTTTCACTTAGTTTGTTCTTGTTGTGTTCTAAATATAATCACCATTTGTTTGTTCAATGTATTCAAATTTGCGTTACTGCATTTTTTTTTTATCTGTTGAATGGTTCATAGATGTTCCTCCAAAACTTTTACAGGCATTAGGTTCTCGAGATGAGCTGTTTGCTGTTCCTCGTTACTTTATACCACTTCTAAGTGGGCTCGCCAAAGGTAATACCATAAAATCGAGTGCATTCAGACATTCCTATATGGATTCCTTGATTTTATATAGCATCTTAAAAAATGTGTACAATTTTTAATTGGGCATGTGCAGAAATGTTGCTTGGATCTGATTTTGACTCTAATGCCCGTTGATGTAAAATGAAAAAAATAAAAATATTGAACTACATGTAGTCTATGATCTGCTTCTATGATTTGTGTAATGAGAGAAAAAGTATACAACAATGAACTTTTTTATTTTTGATTAATTTGGGTTCAATCCTTACACTACATCTATGCGAAGATCCAACATAATTGTATTCTTTGCAATAATGCCCGTTAATATTAATTGGTGTACTTCCACATCACTCTAGTGAACAAGAGCTTTTTAGGTCTATGCTAAACATGCACAATCACCTAATTGTTGTTCCTTTAATTTATCAAATATTGGTGCTGCCTTCACTTTTTGAATTATATTCTAATTTCTTCTTTATGTATTCTTATATGGCCACACGTCCATCTTAATTCGTTCATCCCCCCTGCATGCACTTTATGGACATTTTGTGCTTTAACGTCTCAACACTCAGTACCATGAACCATAATTGGTCTAATAAGAAGAACTTGGCATCTAACTTTGTAGTTAATATTACATAGAATCTGATGTGACTTCTCCATTGCATCGAACCCATTCTAATCCCATGTATTACATCATGTTCAAGCTACCTTATTTGTATCCCTCCAAGAGTTCTAAAATTAGAAAATAATTCAATTAACTTGGTATCCTAAAATTTGGAACATATTATTAATTTATATTTTTGAGTCCAAATCATTGTTGTTCCCCATCATGCAGTCACTTGGTACTAAATATAAGGGAGCCAGCATAGGATAAAGACAGGTCTGTTAAAAAGATAAAATTGATCAACATGGTTTATTTGTTTCCTATTACTATTGTTGTGTTTTCATTCTTATGCTTGAGTATGTAAGCATACACGGACAGTCTATTAACGAAATGATTGAGTGACACTTGATCTCGAAGCTTTGGAGATAGAATGTGTTCTTTTTTTCATAATCCGTTGGATGTGTTTATGTTCATGCTCTTTGATTTTACCATTCACGAAATATGTAGAGTTCAGGGATAAACCATTCATATTTGCTTTCTGGTTTCAGTTCTTGTTTCCATCCAGAGGCGGCACTATGAGCAAATAAAAACTGTGGTTCCTGTTATTCTCAATGTTTTGGAAACCATGTCTTCTGAATTATATGATGAAGATAAAGATTTTGAGGAATTGTTCTGCAAAGCAATTGACATTGCCAACTCTATTCAAGAAGTTCGTGTGAAGTTGGTATGTGTCACCACCGATGCTAATTCAGTAGTTTCATCTGTGGTTCTGCTAGGTTTTCCTGAACGTTTTTCACTCATTTGGCAGGAAGGCAAGGACAGGAATAAGCTCCGTGCTTTATTAGGCCTATATGTCTTGCAGACTATGGTGGACATTTCTTGCCAAAGTGAAATTCTATTTTCAGCTGTTTTGAGTTGTGTTTGGTGAAGTGATATCATCTTTATAAATTAAACTATCCTTGATGTGCAGGCTTTTGTTTCAATTGGCTTGACGAGTAAATCTTCAAGCTGTCCCCAGTTAGTGCTACAGTTATGTCACTTCCTTCGACATTGTGAATTATCGTACATAGGTTTGATTACGGGGTCTGAGGTTGATGTGCTCACAGAACTGGTTCTTGGAGGTTAATTTATACTATTTGCATATAATTTTGACTCTTTTGCATAGATGACTAGTTGATAGTAGATATACACCTTTATACATACATCTTGATGTATCTAATAAACTACAGATGAAGGTGATGACTATATGAATTGCTTTTCTCAAGTCAAACTTGGAGCATCACTTGCAGGTTGGCACTTGACAATCTTTATGTATACACACTGGAGTTCTTCTTCTTTGCTGACGTTTTTGGTTCTCTATATACTCACCTAATCACTTCTATTATTACTCTATTGAATCATAATCAGTAACTTGGGCTTACAAGTCTAATGAGGTTGCTTTAGCTGCCAACGCTGACTTGGCTGCCGTCAAAAGTGAACTCCAAGGTAACTGGTCTAGAAGATGGGAATCAATAGGCATGTTGAAGCATATATTCTCATGCGTGAATTTGCCATGGGAATTGAAGAAACATGCAATCAATTTCCTTATTTGCATCATGGATGGAATTTTATCGCACTCTTATGATGATCATGTGGACTACTCAGCCTATATGCTGACTCTCTATTCTGGTTTGCAGGTAGTCTGTTGCCCACTCCAGTTTCTTCCTTGACAATTTAGTCATATTATCTAATTGTTCAACTCATTCTTCACTCTCAGGCAATTGAAATAGTCATCATGTATGCATCAGATGCTGCATCAAGAAAGGATGCTTTTGGCGTATTCAAAAAGGTAAAGATGTCAGATCTTGTTTCATGTTCCATGACAATGTAGTAAGATATATTACAAATTCAAACCATAATCTTTTTGTCACGTCTATCTTATGAATTACCTAACATTGCAGACTTCTTTCAACGGTGTTTCTCAGAGATGGTAGCAGGATCAGGATATTCTATATTTTATCACCTATAGTTTTGTAAATTTTCCTTAGTGCATTTGTATTTAGCAGGAATTATTGAGTTAAATCAACCATTAACTTATGAAAAAAGGGAAAATGCACAATGATTTCTTAGGCCGCCTTTTAGAATCGTAATTGAGTACTGTATTGGGGCATAGTGCGGGGAGGCAAATTGGAGGAAGAAGGGCTATCACTCAACCAAGTATGTTTGGTACTAATATTCCGAACCAAAAAGTTGCTTTAAGTCAAGATCTGTGGAAGTCTCAGCAAGAGATTGTGAAAATTATAATGGTTATGTTGATGTAAAATTGGGAAAATAAAGAATAGAAAATATACACGTCAAATGGGTCACTCGAACTAGCAAAAGAGGTGGGAAGTATCAATCATTTAATTTCAATTCCCAAAGCATAGTACCAATTTGAAGAAAAGGTAATTTCATTTTCATTTTTTCCTTGGTGGGTATCAATGACATTGCATTTACCACTGGAAACTTCGGCTAATTTTTAATTATAAATCAGTGTAAAGATGAAAGTGAGTTGTCATCTGACTGCCTTTTGGTCTCTTCTACCCCTTTGCTAGAAGTTATTAAATCCAACATTATGTGATTCTAACGTGGTTTCATGTTGATTTGTTTGCCATTAAGTTTTGTATTTGCTTAGAGACCTTGAAGGTCCATTTAGTTTGTACTGTATCTGGTGAATTCACCTAATTTTGCTTTAATGGATTAATAGATCTTCTTTAATGTATTCACAAATTCCATTTAAAACTGTTGATGGATCCTCACTTCATATGTTATTAGTGAAACTTCTCGTCATTACAAAGCATTTTTGGAAAATACTTCTTTGAACGTCCTTTCATTCAATCCCTTACTTCACAAAATGCAGGTACTTGCAGACATCCCAACTTCTCTAAGATTTGATGTCTTAAGGGCCTTGATAAAGAATAGTAACTCTTCTTCCATGGTAGGCCTTCCATACAGATTCCAAAGTAATCATCATTCCAAAGCCTGTGAGAGTGGAAATTTTTGAAGTAGTTCATACTAATACAGTCTTTTATAGATCGCTCTACTTCTAGATTACGTTAGAGGGGAAATGCATTTGGCAAAGACTAAAAAAGTTCCATTAGGGAATGCCTTGGAACCGGAAGTCCACGAAAGTACATCATTTTGGAGTCCAAGCGTTCTTGAGTTGGTGGAGTTTGTTCTAAGGCCTCCAGAGGGTGGACCTCCCCTCCTCCCTGAGTACAGCGATGCAGTAAATATCTCTCTTTCTCTCTCTCCCCCCCCCTCCCCCTCCCTCTCCCTCTCCCTCCCTCTCTCCTCTCCTCCCTCTTATGTGTCTGAATTTTATTCCATTTAACCGTGTTGTATTTTATCTAAGGATACAAATATTTGTGTACGTTCTCTTATTATTTTTAACCCGGGGTTATAGCTGAATCTAATTTTTAAAAGGAATGGTTCTTTTTCTTGTTCGTTGTTTTGCTTACTCATGAAAATCACTACCGTGCAATAAGTAGTTATGTTTCATAAATTGCTCAAGAATATTGGTCATTTTCTTAGTGAATTGGGAACTACATATTTATTTTTCAGATTTTATGGTAGTTTTGAAATTGAACATTCTAATAAAATCTCCTATGTAAAAATCTGAAGACTTGTAAGGTCCTGCAAAATGGTTTTCTTATTATTTCAGATTGTTATTTGAACAAATTGTGCATCTATAGATATTTGTATTTTTGTTTTATTAGAGAACACGCCAAGTATGGCCCTTTTAATCTTTTGCCGAAATAGAAATATTTGCATTTGCATGTATGCAGTAGTTAATCATTCTTTTTATTAAATGAAACTAATAGATAGTTTACAGTCATTCAACCACTGTGCCTTAATGCTGAATAAACTTTGTTTCACACAAGTAATCCACTTATGCTTTTGATATGCTGCAGGTTTTGTCCGCCCTTAATTTCTACAGATTTATATTGATTACAGAGTCAACAGGTGAAGACAGTTCTCTTGATTAACTGTAGTAATCTTGAATTGCTTATTCCTTGCATGTAATGGAGCTTCTATTATATAATTGTCTCCAGCTTCTTCTTGTTTTAATTATTCTTTTCATCTCCCGTCCTTACTTAAACTTCCTTTATTCCCTTACAGACATTTAAACCCTTTCATTACAAGATCTTCATGTCCTTGTGAATGTTTTTTAAGGGGTAGTCATTTAATCAAATTCTCCTTGTTTTGTATCAGTTGTATTGTTCTTTGTTTGCATTGTAGTTCTTCCCTCCTTTTCATTTCATCAAATTTCTCCTTGTTTTGCATCTATTGTGTTGGCATTTATTTTACCATATATTTTCAAGGACAATAAAAACAAACTAACCCTTATTCTCAATAATTTAGGATCGGCTACATTAATCTTTTTTCACAGTTCATAGGGATTCCCCAACGAGATGTGTACAAGGATTCATGTTATAAGATTCTACACTTGGCTTTATTATTTCTTTCAAATGTATTTTTAGTCAATCCCTTCTGATGGAAATTATAATTGAAACAGGGAATTCTAATTACACTGGCATACTGTCCAAAGACAACTTAAGGAAGGCCTACAATGAATGGCTTCTCCCGCTGCGTACATTATTGACAGGAACCATGGCAGAGAGCCAGAATAATGATGATCCATTCACATCCGAAACAGTATGCTCGTTGAACCCTGTCGAGTTTGTTCTATACCGCTGTATTGAACTTGTAGAAGAGAAGCTTCGATGTTTATAACTTTTTTCGAGCAGTATCAAAAGTGTGAGTTTAATGTAATCACCGGACAGCCTGCTGTCGGAGTGTATTCACAATATGTTACATGGTCAAATGTGGCCATACCAAGATTATTTTTGATGATTGATGCTTACATGTATCAGATTCAATTGAGATTGAGATTGGAGTTTTCAGTGAGTTCGTATTCAGAGTATTCTAGTGCCTACTCATGATATGAACTGTGTTATATGCTGTCCTCCCAAGAGATTGAGGCACTAGATGCACTGTTTGGCTAACGTTAGAAAATTCTACATATAAGCTTCCGTTTGATAAATTTATAAATTATTTATAAATATGAATAGTGGTTGATTTCACGAAATGTGTAGATAATGAATGAATAGCAGTGATATTGTTAAAATTAATGTTCGAATTTAGTAGCCTAACTAAGGCTGAGTAGAAAAACATTTTTTAAAAAGAAGTAATTTATACTTTTCATTTTTGTGTAAAAGTTAAAAAATATCTGAATTATTTTGAAAATAAGTGCATAATTGAGGAAATTGTTTGGCTAACCTAAAAAAAATCTACATATAAGCATCTGATTGAGAATTTATAAATGGAGAAATTAGTGTCGTGAAATGTATGATTGATTAGTAGTTATAAATGTGTGGTTGAAATAATATTTGATTTTGATTGAATTTATAATTAATTTATAAATTGGTTGCCGACTAGGCTAAGTGCATTTTTGGTGTAAGTTAAAGTTGAAAAATAAGTGAATTATTTTGAAAGTAAATGCATATTTGGCAAAGCTTTAATTTTAATTGAGGAAATTGGGAAAAATGTCATTTTTTGACATCCCTTTTGAAATAATCAAAAGCCACGGCCATCTTTTTTTAAAAAAAGTTGCTTATATACAATACTCATTTTTTATTCACACTGAGAGCAGAGAGCCTCATTTTACAAAAAAAAAAATCATTTTTTCAAAACTTAGGTCCTACATTATTTTTTCATTCTCATTCTTCTACTCATTTTCAACCACATATTTTTCAATAAAATAATATTTTCCATCGCATCAATAACTTTTCTTTCTTTTTCAATCACATATTCTCCATCACATCAATAATAAAAATGCATTCTTACTTTCAAAATGTACACCAAATGGGGCTTATTTTCAATTCCACACACTCCAATAAGTTCCCATTTGGTGTACATTTTTGGAAAAAGAATGCATTTTTACTGTTGATGTGATGGGGAATATGTGGTTGAAAAAGAAGGATAAGTTATTAATGTGATGGAAAATATTATTTTATTGAAGAATGTGTGGTCAAAAATAAGTAGAAGAATGAGAATGAAAAAAATAATATGACTCAAACATAGTGTAAATATAATTTTACACGTAAATAACAAAACAAATCCTCATTTTTTAACTGTAAATTCTCCAAAACACATTTTTTCCACTGGGGATGAAAACACAGTTTACGTGGAGTTAATGTGGCATTAAATGATATGTGAAATTAAATAAATCATTTAATTTCACATTTCATTTAACCTATCATTTAATGCCACATATACTGTGTTTCCATCCCCACTGAGGATGAATAACATTTATACTATAAAAAACAAGGGCTGATCATCCCAAAATAATCCCCAGTCAAAAATCACTTTTCGAAAGCAAATATTCTCTCTCCAAAAACCCGCCCTAACGAATGGTGGTGTAATGCCAGCATAGCATTCAACGACGTAGTAGTTTTCCGGTGCGATTTGAAACCACTCGACAGTCCTTCATATCGAGTTTCAAAACATTTTTTTATTTGGGTAGAATTTTGATAGACCTGGTACTCTGCCTTCAAATCTGTCAACAGAAATAGCAATGGCAGAAATTTGGGGTTTTTGGAGGAATGATAATTGGGGTGGACGGTCTTGGGCTTTCATGGTCTTCCTGGGTATAATGGTGCTTCACATCCTGGCCATTTTATTGTTTACCCGAGGTTTCCTTCTCACTCGGACCGAACTTTCCCAATATAGTCAATGCTCTGATGTTTTCGACTCTCCTTGCTTTCCTCCTAAAAATCACAATGTTAACAACTCCAGTAGAGCATCGGGTTGCTGGACGAAACCTTCAGTCGATCGGCTCGTTATAATTGTTCTTGATGCTATCAGGTATTGTTCATATTGCTATCTGGATATTTTAATTAATTTATTTATTTTTGAGGATTGCAAAGTGATTCTAGCCAGACCAATCAGTTAAATCAAATTTCTTTCACTAAACCATCCTTACCACCTTTTACAAATTGTTACTACAGGTTTGATTTCGTTGCTCCGAGTACCTTCTACACAGGCAAGGACTTTGACTTCATTCTTAATCAGTTTGCTTTTGCATTTTCACCATGTCCCTTGATATACTTTTCCACGCATAATTATTGGTTATTGAATGTTCTATATTCGAGTAGCTTTGTCCAACCATCTACCATTTGTTTCCATTTTATTGATTATAATTTCCAGAGAAGAAACCATGGATGGATAAGTTACAAGTAATACACGAACTTGCTAGTCAGCGCCCATCATCTGCTAGAATTTTCAAAGCTATAGCAGATCCACCCACCACCAGTTTACAACGTCTAAAGGTGATCCTGTGTTTTATTTATTTATTTTTGATATGTTATTTGGGGCCAAGTGTGTCGTTCTAGAGTTGGTTAACAGAAGGTCACCTTTTTCAATTACACTATACAAGGTTGCCTCGAATGCTCGAGTCTTAGTATAGTTTCTGTACATTTACTGGATATTGAATGTTTGAGGAATTTTTAAAATGGCCTTCTACAATGTGCAAAGTGATTCACTGACGTTCTATTTTTTTAATTTAAAATGCTGTGTTTTTATTTAAATATCTTAAATATAGCGATAAATGGCCTTCTTTTCAAACTAGTAAAAAAGACACTAATCGAGTCAAATTGACCCCAACCCATTAAAAAACGACTCAACTCAGTCGATGTCAAACCCAAATGGGTCGAAATCGACAACCATTTTTCTTAATACGGTGGGGGGTGGGTGGGGAGGGAACATAAATGTGAATCTCCATTCAAATTTTTATTGTAAAGTTTTTGCTGGTCTCATGTCTTCATAGGCTTTGGACTCATATTACAATAAAATCTTAACTTTATTTTCTATTCTTCTTTTGAAAAGATAATTTCATTTGATAATATTCATCATTTTCGTCATATTTATTAGTAGTACTGGCCATCAACATGCATTGACATTTTTGTTTGTTTTTCTGCGACCTCTCCCCTTAAATTTTTAGTTCCACAGTCAATCACTAATTCTACTGCTATTGAGGTGGAGACATTTAGTAATATTGGCCTTTTCATTCTTGAGCTAATGAAAATACTCCCCTGTTCTCTCTTGGATTTATGCCTCTCTAAGAATTTTCTAATTTGTTAGGATGATAATTTAGTCCTTGTTTGACAACCACTATTTTAAAACTCTTTAATTCTCATACTCATTTTCAACAACATATTTACACGATAAAATATTTTGCACATAAACATAACTTTTTCTACTTTTTAAACATACATTCTCCAAAAATAACTATTCAAAACTTCATTTTCTCAAAATAATGGTCATCAAACACGGATTACTATGAAAAAACCTGCCACCCTACCAGTTTGCGAAGAAAAGAAAGAAATACATATTCTGGTTCATATCTAATTTCTTGTTTGCATCAGTGAGATCTTCCATACCGTCTAGTGCAAACACAGTCTTATGCTACATAGAAGTCATGTTAGATATTGAAGCCATTCATGTTATGTTGAGCTACCGCAATGTTATTGTGAGCCAAAGTTCGTTCTCTAACACTTAAATTCACTGAAAGGGGCAGGAAAATTTAGTGTATACCATTGAATTGATACGAAAAATATAGATGACTTGTGAATTAAGATTTGTTTAAGTATGTATCGGATGCTGCAATTTTTATTGATGTAATAGAGTTTAATATATTAAATATCACATTAAGCGAGAATCATTTTTTGGACGATTTTAACCTTACTACAATCCAATTATTTCAATAATACCTTACTTTTCGTTTCTCAATATGTAATAAATACTACAAAATCCTTATCATGTATGAATTTCGTGTTATTAATTTTCAATTAATTAACATTCACGTTAATCTAGACTCTATGAAAATCTTGACTTAATGAATCTTAATCTACATAAATCTAGAGTTGTTATAGATGAATTTATTTCTATTGATGTATGTAGGAATGTAATGGGTGTTTAAATTTATGTATTAGCAATTAATTCTTATGTACCAAATGTAGTATGAAAAGCCTGCTCATTTATAGTATTTCATTATCATAAAAAATTTGAATCATAGAAGTTAAGTTTTAAGAGTATAATTTCCTTCGCTTAAATTTCTATCTTAAATTTTATTTTCTTTAATTCGTTTGAAACTCAACAAATCTTCCCAACAAATTAGTATTAAGCCCCCCGTTAACACCCATTAATTTCTCATTCTCATTTTTCATTTCAACCACACATTCTCTAAATAAAATAATAATACACACAAATCAAAAACTTTTCATCACTTTTTCACCACACATTTTCACATCAATCACTATTCTAAAATTTCTATTCTTTTCAAAATTAGATTCAAACAAGGGCTAAATATTACTTTTACAACAGTTATAAAGTATTTCAGAATAACATGCAATTCATGTTCAACTCTGACCAGTTATAGTAAAGATAGGTGCAAAAACAGCTTTTAAAACAAAGCTTTCTTAAAACTTATCTACATGATACAGAAAATTCAATATTTAGTACGTGCAGGTATGATTTTGTGTCCAAAAAGTCAAGAAAAATAGGGAAACCTCTAGCTTCCAAAATGCCACTCCAAAGCCAGAAATTCACGTTTATTTCTCTCCTTCTATTTTTCCCACACAAAGCTATGTGTTTCCATGAGACAAAATCTACTTCTGTTTTTCCAGCAAGCTTTTTTCACGTACAGAAGTAATTCCTGCACAGTGGCATGTATTACATAATAAAAAAGGCCTCGACAATTCGATACCACAACTCATAGGTCACCTCATTGCTACTTGCTAATGGGGAAATGTTTAAACTTGCTTCCTAGTCTTGTAAGTCCCTCAGGGATGACATTAGTAAAAAAATCCAATTTGTAGAGGTGGACTGGTTATAAGACCTTTTGACATATTGATGAGTAAATCATTAGTAAAAAAATCCAATTTGTAGAGGTGGACTGGTTATAATACCTTTTGACATATTGATGAGTAAAAGGCATGGTACATTTTTCTTAAATATATCTCCGGTGCCATATTACATTTTTCAGGGCTTGACAACTGGTGGACTTCCCACATTTATTGACGTAGGAAACAGCTTTGGTGCACCAGCAATTGTTGAAGATAACTTGATACATCAGGTCTGGTTCTGTATTTGATTTTTTGGTTTTGGCATGGCATGCATATACTTCATTTTCATATTTAACACTTAATTTTGCTTACGAAATTTTTCATGTTTTGTTGTCTTCATTTCCTTCTTTTCACATGCATCTAACTCTTGATCTTATATGTAGTTGGTTGCAAATGGAAAACGGGTAGTGATGATGGGGGATGATACATGGGTGCAGTTATTTCCACATCATTTCAATGAATCTTATCCGTTCCCATCCTTTAACGTTAAAGATCTTCATACGGTAGGCATTTACTTTCATCAATGTTTTCTTTTTTGTACTCAAATTTATCACAAACTCATGAAAAAACAATGTGTTTTTATCTGATCTTCTATTCAAATCTCTGAACAAGAGCTTTTTTCCTAAGATTTTGTTCCTTTTTAAGATCTTTATGTCATTTTTTGTCAGGTGGATGATGGGTGCATCAAGAACTTGCTTCCAACATTGTACAAAGAAGATTGGGATGTGCTCATAGCACACTTTCTTGGTGTGGTATGCCTTCTGCTCTGTTCTTTCCTTGATTACTTATCTTGGTTTCCGACATATTAGAAGCCAATTGATTTATTTCCAGATATTGGAGAAAAGATGAACATCGAACCATGAAATTTGGCAACATTCAACCATAAAAGAAAGGAAAATGCGAGCTTTATGAAAGTGAAATATCTTCATGGCTGTAGACTGAAACTAACTGGAAAATCAAATTGCATCCTTCAGTTAAGAGTATATAACCATTTAGAACAGAATATACAAGAAAACTTTTCCTTATAAGGTGCTACGGTAGAGTGAATAGCATCTGTACAGGTGTAGCAGCGGGGTGGTGCTAAGTTCAATACACAGAATAAATGAAACAAAGTAGTGGCATCTCTTACGTGGCTTGTTTTCTACTAGTTGAAGTGTCGTTGAACATCCATGCACACTGGTGCTAAGGTGAAGATGAGATTGTAGTTTAATAAAATGTCAGTGGCTTGGAAGGGGTGCAGACATTAATCAGTTTAAATTCAGAGGAATTGTATCACCTGCAACAGAACGTGGTGGAGTCTCAAGTTTCATATATTTGGCCAGATATCCCACAGTACCATCCTCGCACCAGTCTTTGCCTCAAAGGAAAACTTTCTAATCACTTCCAGCTTTCCTGCCACGAAGTGCTGATATTGAAGGGGATTGCATCACCTGGAAATCACATGAGAACTTAGATTTTACTTTGCTTTATTTTCACCAGACGTGATGTCATACAAAATGACTGTTTGTTGCTAATTCCTGAAAATCGGGTGCATCCTGTGGATCATCGTCTTGAAGTTGCGATGATGTCTAGTTCCTGTCACAAATTCTAGAGTCTGCCCCTGTCACATATTCCTAATAGCTAGCCTTTCATCCAGGAAGTTTATCGCTGGCAATAAAGCATGATGGACTCTCAAGTTTCAGATATTTGGGCGAGATATCGTGCAGTATGGTTTCTACGACTGCACTATGTCTGAGTTTCAATATTTGGATATTGAAGGGGATTGCAGACCTGATACTTACATGAGAATTCACATTTTACTATGCTACATGTAGAGACCAAACGAGAGGCCATAAAGTGCTTGTACAGTTTCTTAAATTGGACTATCAATTGTATAATCATCTGGAATTTCCCATGAAGTCTAGTTATTGTCACAAATTTTGAAGCTCCACACAACAAAAATTGATATATTTCTGCTGGTTGGCGAAAGTGTGTTTCTGGAGTCTATAGTTATGAGACTCATTTCCTGATTGGAAATATGTTGGGCAACCACTTTCCCACCACGGACTATTCAAGGGGAAAATCATATTGATATCTTTTTTTTGTGATATTGAGTTGCCACTACTTGTAGAAGATGTGGAGGGTTTCTTCCCGTTCTTGGTTAAATGCTTATGTATGTGACAAGGCCTAATAAACAATAAGCTTGTGAGGCATAGAAATATTTTCCAGCTCCCTATCGATGGCCCTGCTTGCGTGAATATTTCTATTTTGTAGTTCAACTAAGGATCTTTCTATTAAAATATAATTCCAAGCATTTGTTTATCTAATGTTGTAAGTGAAAGTCTTTTAAAATTTACATATTTTATGTGCTCCAGGATCATGCTGGGCATATATTTGGCGTTGATTCTTCACCAATGATAGAAAAATTGGAACAGTATAATGGAATTTTGAAGGTAAGCCTCTTGGTCTTCACATTTATGATTTTGTGCAGCAACTTAAAAAAAAGGAAGAGAAGAAAGAAAGAAAACTAAATATTGCTCATTTTCTGTTATATTACTTGCCTTTTTGTGATACTTTTGCACCACATTCAACACAGCGTGTATGCCACAGTTTAGGATGCCAGATAGCTTTGTTGCCATATTGGGAAAAAATAGGGGGGCTTTTTTCAGGAGGTGATTGGTAGTTTGAGATTCAACATAGCGTTCATGTTACTATTTAGGATGCCAGGTGGCAATAGTGCTGTTGCCATTTTTAGAAAAAATATGGTGGTGGCTTTAAGAAGTGAGGTGATTGGTAGCTTGGGATTCAATAACATGAAGTAAAAGTAGAGATGGTTTAGGATCGAGATATCTTAGGAACATGAACTATAGGAAAATGGCTTAACTGCTTAAGAGATTTCCCCTGGAACAATCTTACCTAGGGGTAGGGTGGTCAGGAGGAAGTATTTGCTGGGCCATAATGATTGAGATTACAAATGAACTGTGAGAGGTTCCCTTATGGGACAATAAATGTAACTTTTGGTTCAGTCATCATTGTCCTCTTTATTTACCTTCTTTATGTTCATTTATTTGATACTTCCTCAATTGAGAAAATATTGTGGATGCTAGATTCCTGTTTTTGTTGCAAGTCATTCTTCCATGCTCTTGTTTATATGCCAAAATGTTAAATACCCTAATTTTTGACACATTCAAGTTCCTTAGGAAATCTTGTGCTCCTTATAGAATTAAGGTATTTCTATAGCTGTTCTTTTATAGAAAAACTGTTACTTGTGAATTTGTACGAAAGATGTGTTCCTTTATCTCCCCCTCCCTTTCTAGTTTGTGATGTATTGAGAAGCTGCGAGTTGGCTATGATGTAGACTTGTGGAAGCTATTTTTGCTGGTTCTTCCCAAGCTGGATAGTGGATTACTCCTTGGAAGTCCCATCCATTTTTGCAAGGGCAATATGGAGTGTGTGGATGTGGGATACATTAAATTTGGCTACCTTCTGAGTAGTTTGGTAAATAGAAACAGTAGGAATTTTTGAAGGACAAAACTGAGATTTTTTGCGCCGTGGGACTTACCAAGTTTTTTTAGCATTGTTGTGGATTTTTTTACAGTTATGAAGTCAATAGGTTACCTTTTCTTGAATAATACTTAGGTAGAAATTTATGATGTAGTCTTAACTTCATTTTAATTTTCTTAATGTTAGAGGATTCCTTGCCCTCTTAATCACTGTAATTCCGCTGCCATAATATAAAATATATATTCGAATGGCATGCTCCTTAAACCGATGTGCGGTGTTTACATATATATATTTTGAGTGATATTGCTTGGTTAAATATCGACTGACAATAACGAACTGCCTCTTGTTTTGTTTCAGAAAGTTGTTGAAGTGCTGGAGAGCCAAAGTGGTCCAGGTGACCTACATGAAAATACAATGCTTCTTGTGATGGGTGATCACGGGCAAACTCTCAATGGTGATCATGGAGGAGGCAGCGCAGAAGAGGTTTAATGTCCTTTAATTTTGCTCAAAATTTATTATAGCTATCAAAGGATTTTATCTAGAAGCGTGTTATTTACATAGGTGGAAACTTCAATTTTTGCACTGAGTTTGAAGAAGCCTCCGAGTTCTGCACTGGCAGCATTTGACAAGTCAACTTGCCAATTAGACATGGTATGACCTACTCTTTCTATGGGAACTGGTGTATACTTGTGCAATAATTATGCTTGTGCACGTGTGGTGGGAGTTGGGACTATTCTGTAGGTATGGTGAAAATGTGGGATATACCCAAAAATTTAAAAAGTGAACACCTGCAAACCAGTGAAAAGAATGTAGAGTAAAGCTCCTAATCTAATGGCGATGTTGCTTGACTATTGAAGTATTCTACTAATTGCTTGCTTGGTCATGCTTTTAAGTGCTTATAAGTTGTGTGTCCTATTAAATGTGTGGATAATAAGTGAGTTGTAAACTATGTGTCCAACGAAATGGATAAATAGTATATTTAACTAGCTTAAATATAATCTAAACTTTGCCTGACATGCACCAAACCTCTAAAGCTTCTTCCATCTAACTTTTGATTCCTTTTATCAAACTTCCACAAAAACTAATTCTTTTTTTGTCATTGGAAAATGTCCTTTTTTAGAAACAGAAAAGTGAAAGTCAGGACCAATAAATTGAACGCTAGCAATTTCATCAGGGTTAACACTTGCAAGATTAATGACAATAGAAGTTAAAAGGGTGATCTGTTATGTAAGGTGTACTTGTTGAATTTCCTATGTTGCTCTTTGCAGCAAGGAAGGAGGATATGCCTTAGCTCCATTCAGCAGGTCTGTTAATTTATTCACTTTCGATGATAGTTTTTTGAATTTAGATTCTCCCTGGAAGTGCACTCACTCTACTCTATTATTGCAGCTTGATTTTACGGTAACAGTGTCTGCGCTGCTTGGCCTCCCATTTCCTTTTGGAAGGTGCAGTTCAAGAATCTTGTTAATATTTGTTTTGGAACTTCCATTTAAGTTTTATATTCTTGTATCCGTATGATAGCTACATGAAATCTCATAAAAACCTTCTTTTATTCGAAAATAGAGAAGGTAAAGGATATGTCCACTGGATGGAACGTTTTTCTTCACTGTTGACCAACAAGAAACGCCAGAAGTGTACAATTCCTTGTAGAAATCTCTCTAACTAAAACAAATTTGCACAAGTTTTACGATATAATGAAAAAGGGTTCAGCTTCCAAAGGTTCAGTATGTATGTGTAAATCTCCCAAAAAACGAAAAAATTAAATTGCCTTTAGCATGGTTACTTGGACTTGTGTTCAGATGTTATATATCAGTGTGGATCTAGAGGTCAGGCACAAGCATTGTCAATATATAGGACCCTGGTATCGGGACTAGGGATTTACTTTGAGTACAGTTATATCAACACACCATTTATGAAATTGAAAAGCTAAATGAGGATGCTCTGAAGATGTTTAGATCGGGAAAATTTAAGCCTTGGTTTGGCAAACGTTTAAATTATAAACAATTATGGTCAAATCACTCTTTATCCCCACAAGGACTATCCCCTAATCCACTATTTATTTTTATCTATCTATAATTTAAACCGATTATAAAATAATTCCCAAACGTGCTTTAAAATTGTTTAGTTTCTAGGAAGAGTATACCTATCATTAGAAAACAGCATAAGGTATTGGATCTGAAGTTATGTCAAATTCTTCTTTCATAAAATTTCTATTGGCCTTTGTAGCCTGTGGAAGATTTATGCATGTAGAACTTTGCAGGCAATGATAGAATCATATGCATATCACTTACATCCCTTGATACATTTTGGCTTATCTGATCTGAGAAAACAGCCAAGCCATTTCATTAATTTAAATATCTCAGTTAATGGTATTACAGTAATTACCATTTCAGTTAGTGAATCAATAAGTGATTCTATTTTCCATTCTTTGCACAGCATTTTACTTTCTTTGTTGTTATGAAGATTCAACGAACTGCAGACCGATGGCTTGCTGGAATTTGCTGCATCCTACTATTTGGCTGGCTGAAAAATTTTCATAGTTTGAAGAAACTCTAACTAGTTTGACCTATTTTCAGCATTGGGCATGTTAATTCTGAATTATTTGCCTTAGCTGCTGGTACATGGAACCTGGAAAGGTTGGCTACGCATGATCGTCAAAGTCTGTCAGAATTGGATGAGTGGATGCAGAATTATGTCAATGTTCTCTGCATTAATTCTTGGCAGGTAATGTTTGGCCAGTCAACCTATAAATATTACATTGGAATTTTGGTGGTAGAAGTTAGTATTAAGGATTAGCAAAATGAACTATAAAATTGCTACTTGGCTTATATATTTTGTTTTTTCCTTGTTTGCTAGTTATTGTACTTTTATAGTTCGGAAGGTGATGAATAAACATGTCTTTGTTTCTCCTTAAAAAAAGAATAATGGAACCTAATTTTGGTATTAGTTATATTTATACCGGGGAAAGTTAGTTTCTTACTTTAGTTCCCTCCTATTTTGTCTCTAATATGTTCACCATCTCTGCAACTTCGTCATTTTTCAATTGTCGATTAGTTTGAATTTGCATTGGAGCTACAAGGATTGTCCATGTTTAGAAAAAATCCATTGAAACCCAACTTTTAATGCTAGTAAGTGGAAAAATATTGAATGCATTCAATGACAATTCTTAATGTTTATTTTGATTGCATTAAAGAACATAATTGATGATATACGATCATGAAACTCAATTTTCCCTTGCCATTGTTGAAATATATAGAGGCAAGAAGTGTCTCAATTTTTGTATTATAAAACTGAATGGGACAATGCATTCTGTTAACATATATCTTCCTCGTTTGAATCATGAATGTGTTGTTTATACGGAATAAATGGCGACAACGAATATGTTGGTGGTTAATTGTTGTAGAGAGATATCTCTAGTGCATTGACATTTGAAGATGAAGTGGGTTTGTAGAGGTGGAGGAGGTGGAAGAGAAGTGATACATCATTGATCTTCCTCAGATGGTGGCGGTGATGACAATTTCTGCTGTTTGCAGGGCATTACAAGATGTTATGCCACCGTATTTTCAAGTGGCTTAGGCAGAAATCGTAAGGGGGATGGAAGATTGAGGTGTGCCTAGTTAAAATGATATTTGAAAGGAAGGGGTTGGTTGCATAAAGTTTGGACCTGTCTGAGGCGAGCCTCACTCAAGGCTTTTATTAAATTTCTTGAATCTAAGGCCTTTAGTACCATTTGTCAATGCTTATGTGCGAACTACTGTGGCCTGTGCCTTGCATATGTAGATTTTTTATTATGTACCTTAACTTGATGGCGGGAATCAAATATAACCTCAATGTTCTATTGGTGATATATGAATCATGAAGAGTCCTACTTGTGTATGTCTACGTGATTTACCTTTAACAATCTAAGATCGGTGTCTAACATACCTGCCGTTACAGATAAGAAGGTAGATGGAATGAAGGACAATAATCAACAAATGATGTTACCATAGCTCTGTCGAGATCCTGCTTTCTAGTCTCTCTTTCAAATATATTTTCTAAAATTTTTACCCTCAACGAACACTTTCAAGACACACATTTGACATCCATCATATTCCTTGTAGTTCTAAAAAGAGGAACATGTTCGCATCACATCAAGGGTATTGAAAATCCTCATTTTATAAATTTTGGAAAACAATATTAGGGAGGAAACATATAGTTACTAAAGCATTAAAGTAATAAAATCTATGAAGTTCGTGTCAAATTTTTTTATATATGTAGTACCTGCATTTTTCTATTTCTAGAAGTAGTAAAATATAGTTTATGTAACATCCCAATCCAGTGGCACTTGGAATAATATTATCCTCTTTGGGCCTAACTTGAATGGTTTTGTTCTTAGGGTTTCATTCAAAAGGTCTTATAAGTGAAAGGATCAATCCCAATTGGTACGAGGCCTTTTGGATAAAAGCCAAAGTACAAAATAGTGCGGTTAGGTCCAAAGTATACAATATAATACCCTAGTGGACTTGGAAGTTATAATCTATCAAAGCAAAGTGTTAGTTTTCTTGAAAAATAATGATGAGATATCCAGTGTCGTGTGTATGTACTTGTGCCTCTTAGGTAGTGATGACACGAGAAATTTTTAGGCTATTTCTACTTCTAATAGTAGATTACATTGCAATTTTGTTACTCAGTTGAAAACTTATTATTGATTTCTATTATCTTTTTTGCAAGTTAGACTTCTAATATTGTTAATATATTTTGTTATGGATTTTATAAGATAGTTTATGATTTATAACGAATTTATTTTTAATTTTGTTTGAATTAATTTACTGGTTTGTCTCGTGGCTTACACTTAGGGCTGCCAATTAATTGGATATTGATACGAACCCGATGAAATTAATAGGAGATGGATTTAGAGTCTCAGTCCAATAACTTATCAAGATCTGAATTCGATAATCTATTAAATTGATCAAATATGGATATAGGTCAACCCAATCCGATCCGATAACAACTTGATCTGATTAATTATAAATAGTTGATTTGGTGAAATATTTTTATGGTATGTTATTTGCCACTAAAAACAATAAATGAGAAAATAAAGAAATTTAGAATAAAAATGTCGTCAAATTCAAAATATAAAAAAAAATAAAAAAGTCAATTCACATGTGCACAGTGTTCTAGGTTTCGGGTTAGGTGAGTCTAGACAAAGTTTATGCGTAAAAAAAACTTCGAAAAGTATTTTTCTTATTTTATTATTATTTTAAATTTTTAATCAATCTAAAAATTATTTAATAATACATACAAATTATAGTACTAAGTGCAGTTTTAAGAGTTTAACAAAATAAATATATCGATGAACAAGATATAGTATAATAGTGCTAGTTGAAATATTTGGAGAGTTTTAAATCTTTATTAATTAGTAAAAAATAGGAAAAACGATTAATTTTATAAAATATAAATAACTATTTATATAATAGTACAATACATTACAGTCAAACAAAATGTACAATGCACTATAGCTAAACCGAAGGTACAATGTACCACAGCCAAACCAAATTGATTTTTATCCCATATCAAAAGTTTATAACAAAATATTAACAGATGACCTCTATAAATAAGTGAGTCAATAAATAGGTATTTTCCTAATTTCTTTAATTTTGGATTGGATATCTGATAACATAGCAAATCGGAAATAGATTTAACAATCAAATATTTGCCGAATTATCGAATCAGATCCGGTTCATATCCAATCCATTTATAGCCCTACTTACACCTCTTCTAAATACCTTGATACCCAGTTGTACCTTTTATATAAATTGCAAGAACAAAGTGGTTGTTAATGTCAAATATACTTAATAAAATACTCGATGTCCCTCTTTGTGAAATGTTTTCTCATTAAATAGGACTAAAATAACAACTAAATATGGAAGCGATCAATTACAATATTAATTAATGGTAAAAACAATCTATCTATATCTAATACAATTATAATAATATAATCGTAATCTTCGACAATCTTTGGAATCTTATTCAAGCTCCTTGACATCCCCTCAAATTGATGCAGGTAAAAGCATCAATTTGCAATCATGAACTGACGACTGTGACAATATTTGTGCCCACTAAGAAGAAATCCAAATCAGAACAACCAACTATTAAAATTAGGGACGACGAGAGACCAATAACAACAAATAATGCAAAAACAACAAAGATCTACTTCAAAGTCACTCCAAAGATATTACGAGATACTACGAGAACACTCCAAAAATGCTACGAGAACTCAACACTCCCCAAGAAGAATTTCCAAAAGAAATTCACGAAGTGTGCTGACGCACACATTGAGCTCTATCTGTCGGGAGAACTTGGTCGAACACATAATTCGTGTTCCAACAAAAGCTCTAACGCCAAAACACCGGCTACAACTCCAGATGCTGTATGTGGAAGAAATCTCTCAAAACAGCCTAAACTTGAGTTCATCAACTAAGCAACCAAAACGCGATGATCTGTACTCCCATGTCTCTCTATACTCACGAAGCACCATATAAAGGGGGAAAAAAATCAAAGCACAATCCAAAAAAAAGGAGATGAACAAGGTTAATCTGTTTAGGTGAGGATATATATTGACTTGTAATTTGTAAAACTGCAAAAAATGATCGTTTTTATTAAAAAAAAATTGGCCGAGCGAGCAGCATTGTGTGTGCTGCTCACCGGAAATGAAATTCAATGGTTAATTTGTTTAGGATCAGAACGGCTCTGATACCATGTCAAATATACTCAATAAAAGACTCGATACCCCTCTTTGTGAAAGGTTCTCATTAAATAGGATTAAAATAACAACTAAATATAGAAGTAATCAATTACAACATTAATTAATGGTAAAAATAATCTATCCATATCTAATACAATTATAATAATATAATCGTAATCTTCGACGATCCTCAGAATCTTATTCAAGCTCCTTAACAGTTAACTAGCATATGGATAATACCCAGCTACTATTAATTTGACATTAATATACCTCAAGAAAATGTGGAACCACTATATCTAAAGACATAAGCTATTATAGAGGATAGATATTTATTTATTTAGATTTAGTTTTCACCGTATCCCCTTATGTGCATATTAGTTTTTCATCTAAGGCCCAACATGAGCATAATTTTTGAAGAAGCATTAGCGAGATTTGAACTCATGACCTCTACTTGCTTTGATATTATATGGAACCGTCTTATCTAAAAGTTTAAGCTCTTAGAGAGGGGTTACCTTTATTTATTTAAATTTATTTTTCATTAAAGAAATATGTACTCAAAATAATTTTTCCACTCATCGTGAAGTCTTTTACTTATTTCTGCCCCTTTCTCCTAGTTTAGAATATTAACAATTCCAAGTTGATTCTTTTAAAAAGGTTGCTGTGCACATAGATAGATAATCGTAGTCCTCATTTCATTTGATTGGTTGTTGCATTAATATAATTCTTAGTCTGACTCAGTACTTGAAAGGTTTAGTAGAAAAAACCTGGAGACTTCATTTTAGTCCAGTTGGTACTATATTTAAATTTTTATACTACAACCTTTATCTTAGACTCGGGTTTGCTTATATAGGTGAAGAAATACATTGATGTCTATTCATCTTTGTCACTAATTGGTTTCTCGGAGAAAGATTTGCTGCATGTATCAGAGCTGTATGCTCAGGCTCAAGAGTTCTGGTCACTCACTTCTAAGAGTTCAGTACTACATGAAAACGAAAGCTCTTCTACCTTGTTACCTGCTATCAAAAGGCAAATTGAAGCATATTCTGCATTTTTGGCAAGTGTTGCCTCGCTGGCCAGGTCGAACTGGACTGAGTTTAATCTGAAGTTGATGGGAATAGGTTTCTGTGTTATGTTGTTTTCACTTTTTCTGCATGCTTTTAGTATCAAGAGGTTGGATAACCTATGTGGACTTTATTCGCCTTCCTGCGGTGATTCTAGGAATACCATTGGGATGATTTTTGCTTGTATTGCAGTGCTGACTCGTGCCTGCAGTTTTCTTTCAAATAGTTATATTCGTAAGTCACGTGCCTATATAGTATTTTAAGGGTTCGGCGCCTGCATATTTCTCTAGTATTATCTTTTATCTGACTTCTTTCCCGGTTTGATAAATTCTTGAGATGCAGTGGAAGAAGGCAGAGTAGCTAGTTTTCTTTTGGCCACAACTGCACTGCTTCAACTACGTTGTGCAATAATGAAGAAGATGATGTTACTTGAAGTAGGTATCTCAAGTGTTATCGTGGTTATACTTCTGAAATTGAAACTGTCAAAATATATCATTTTTCTTCAAATATATGATCTGTTTATTGGTTCTAACATGTTTTATTTTTGTGGAAATTCTGGAAAAAAGTAGATTGTGGTTCATGACTGTTTCTATGTTGGATCTGCAGGCACTTGCATTAGTTTTTTTGGTTCCTTTCCTAAGATTTAGTATTGAACTTGGGCAATTAAAGCAAGCTGTCAGTTCTTTATTCTTGAAGATTGATCCTTCAAGAACACTAGGAATCAACGGGGACTCTCAGTTCTGGATGTCAATAACTCAGTTTGTGCCGATATTAGCTCTTCTGATTGTGGCATATCTACTTTACAAGAGCATTGTTTGCTGCTCCTGTCACAGGATCTTGAAGTATGTTATTGTAGGAAGCTTATCTAATTTCCTGCTGATAGCCATATATTGGGCCTCCAATGATAACCTATTGAACCTACTTATGGTGCCAAGGGCAATAAGGGTAAATCTTATTCCTCGAATCATCTATGCTGTTGGAGTTATCCAGGTATCATTATTGGCCATAGTTCAACTTTTGGTTAGAGAGAAGACTCTGAACTTGGAAGGAAGTACAATTTTCAAAGTACTGGCCCTGATATCTGCATGGAGTTCAACAATCATAGTTATATCTGGAAAACAAGGTCCCTTGGCTGTCTTAGCATTGTTAATTGGAGGTGCTTGCTGTCAATTATAACTTTTTTATCTTTATAATTAACTTGAGACAACTTTAATGGTTAACTTGCAATTATTATTTGAATTTCCTATATAGGTTGGTGCATAATTAGGTTGATGAGATTGGAACAGGACACTGATAATAATAATTCTGGATCTTCACTTTTTTATACACTTCCTGTAACACAATGGAACCTTCTCGCTGTGTGTATGTTTTTCAGTACAGGTCACTGGTAAGATGCTTTGCCTCTTCCTATGTTTGAGCATGATTCTGATTTCCAGTTATGAAGATCTCATTTCAATACCAAATTATGACTTTCCTTTGAGGGCACCACGTTGGTTTCACTTGTCAATAACTTCATGCAGGTGTGCTTTTGATGGCCTTAGATATGCTGCTGCATTTGTTGGGTGAGAGCATATATTTCTGTAATGATTTTTGGGTTATGCTACAAGTATATAACAACTTACATAATGGTCAACAGATGATGTGACGAGATTTAATTGGATCAAAATCTCATCAATCAAATGACTTCGCCATTTACGTTTTGACACCTCGTGCAAGAAGCATTTTCCATGATTTTTTTCCCCCATTCTGAATTGGAAGGCCTTGTTTAATTGTACATTTGCAAATTCCTTTTTCCCTATTTTTAAGTGCATATGAACATACTGTATGTATTTCAGGTTTGATGAATTCAACCTTATTCGCCAAGCCATCCTTCTTACAATTGATACATTTGGTTTTTCTCACATTTTTCCTATATTTGGACTTCCATTTCTTGTCGCATGCTGTTGTCCCCCAAGGCAGACCAAGCGATTATTTTCCATGAGACTGTGTCAGGTTAATTTCTTGGTGGAAACTTTCATTTATAACTTCCAATGGATTTCGAGCAGTAAATTACAGATACTGTTATATTTCAGGTTTATTTGATGTATGGCCTCATTACAGCTGTATCAGTCACATTTACTATATTATGCGTCACAATACAAAGGCGGCATTTGATGGTATATACTCATATTTGCTGAGTTTAACATGCATTTGAATGAATCTGTTGACACTAATATTCAAAATTTCCTTGCAGGTATGGGGATTATTTGCGCCAAAATTTGTTTTCGATGTAGTAGGCCTTGTTCTTGCAGATATCATGATTTGTTTATCATCGCTGTACTACATAGTGTGAGCACTTGTGTCGAAAGCCAGATTTTTGTTTGTCCCATGATCTGTAAATTTTAACATAGTCGGTTATTGCTTGACATTTCATTTTTGGTTTTCTGAAAGAGGATATAGAGTTGCAGAACGATTCGAGGAGAGATGTGTGGAGTTATGGGGTTAATGTAATTCATTGAGGACAAAACTTTATTGTTTTTTTTCAAATCTAAATTATACATTTGAAATAAAAGAAATATTGTTATACATTAACATAAATTAAAAAATAATGCTCGGTACATTTTGTAAAAAAAAATCGTCACAGCGTGCAAAGTTGTCTTCTTCTATCATTTTGCACAAAGATCAAGTTAGGTGTTAAAGTTTAGTGTTTTGTAACCATTTGAAAATTAGCATGTGTATTTCGTGAGAAATGAAATTATATTAAAATAACAAAAATATATAAATTGAAAAATTAACACTTTTTTTTTATCATCTTTCAACTAACATTTTATTATTTAAAAAAATAGAAAATTTTGGGGCACCGAAAATTCTGAACTTGAGTAAGTTTTCTTGATAAATCTATGTTTTTCAATAACTATTTGGGATATGTCTTCTGTGTTTTTACTATTTGGATATATATTTTTGATCCATAACTCAAAAATGAGTTGTAGACTAGATGGAGATTTTGGGATGATTCCCTTCCCTAGTTAAAAGGCGCGCTAGTGTTAGAAGGTCAGATTTCTTGATTGCAGCAGCATCAGCCCAAGCACTTTTGATTTTTCGAACGCGTTGCTAAGGAAGTTCGATTTCCATCTAAAAATCCTTGAAAAACATGGACTCATTGGGTTATATGCGAGCATATCATGTTTACTTTATATTTTATTAAGAGATTAGGGACCAATGGTGTAATTTTTATTAGCCACAGGACAATGTGTCACTTGAATTTGGTGGTTATTTTATGCTTTGAATAATTTTAAAGAAATATGGTGATAGTTTTTCTCAATTGTTCCGTATTCTTTAAATATTTAAGTCAAATACTCGGTATTCATTCTAATATTTGTCATCCCATATTGATTCTTTATTCATTTCTCGGTGTCCATATCAAAAGGTTAGTGCCAAATCTCCCTATACCAAAATAATAATAATAATAAATCAAAACTATGCCTCTATTTCATTAGTAGATTTCGATAAAATTTGATTATAAGATAACTTACAAAAATATCCCTAAAATTAGTGGTCTTGAAAAATCACATGAAACGTATTTTGAAAATAAAAAAATACTGTGTACAATTAAGTGTCACTTTTTTTAAATTAAAAAGTGACAATGTTTTTTTTTAATCAAACAAACAATATCACTTTTATTAAAGTTTAATGTGACTTTTTTTTTAAAAAAAAATGATATAAAATGTCACTTTTGTTTTAAAAAAAAATGATGTTTGACATTCAAAAAAGTGATAGAAATTTTAAGAAAGTGATAGAAAAAGTAGAAGAAATTAAAAAAAAAAAGTAGCAAACATTAAAAAAAGTACCAAAATTTTAAAAAGTTACCACCAACTAAAACATTAGAATAATTTTAATAAAGTTAAAAAATTAAATAAAAAATATTTTTTGGAAGTAAAAAAATATTGTATTAATTTAAGTCACTTTTATTAAAAAGTGATGTTTGTCACTGAAAAGGTGACGAAACCTAAAAAAAAAAAAAGACAAAATATCGAGTAAATTGTCTATTTAGTCACTGAACTTTCGGCTATGCACGCAAGAGGTCACTGAACTTTCAAAATAACACAATTAGTCACTGAATTATACAATTCATCATCTCAGAAGTCACTGAGCAAACGGCCGTTTAGAAATTGGACGGAATTTCCACGTGGCAAGGGGTCAATGACATGGACGAAAGTTTAGTGACCCCTTGCGTGCATTTTTAAAGTTCAGTGACCCCTTACGTGCATGACTGAAAGCTCAGTGACCCCTTGCGTGCATGGCCGAAAGTTCAGTGACTAAATAGGCAATTCACACCAAATCATTCATTTCATTATTTATATATTTCGTACAACAGCTGAGATAACAAAAATAATTTCCGTGAGCACTTCAAATAATTGTTTTCAAATAATAAAATATCGATAATATAATAGAATAGAACGGTTCAACCCCTTTCTCTCATAAAACATATTATTTTCTTTAAAAGATTTGAACAAATTAATTAAAAATGAGGTGAAATGTAAAGAAAATTAATTAATTAAAAATGAGCCAAGACGCTAGTCGCCTCACCCTTTCTTTGGCCTTTTAGTAGATTCTGATCGATGTTAATCGTATTACCGTAAATTACTGGAATTGTACAACACATTTTAAATGATTCGACCGTAATAGTCGAACTATGAGTTATTTTCAAATGCTTATCACTCATCGATGACAAAAGTAGGAGAAATGTAATGCTTAAAACATATTCGATCGAGGTAATATATAACACGGAATCCCAACACAACATTTTTATAGTACATTAATGTAATTTATTAAAATAAATGAGATTT